ATAACTTTGTATATCCACTTGGTGGGCTCCACGAGGCAGATTTAATGCATTATTCCCAGATGTTTTTCTCTCTACGAAGGCTTATTCACCCATTTGTTACTTTATATCAGATAGTCGGTGCTGCAGGTACAGTTGAATGACCTCCACAGTGCAGTAATTGTGGTGGTGATGGGCCTCAATGTTGATTGCTAGAGCTGGTAATGATGTAGATGATATATTGGTGGTGGTGGTGGTCGTCGTCGTGGTTTTCACTGATGGCTCCGGACTCTGTTGCATATCTTCTGACCGTTATCTTTAAGCCTTAAACATAGGCTAACGAGTCGGGACAGGTAGCAAATATAGTGCCGCGTTAATGCAACTCTGAAACACACGACGAACTGACGCAAGTACAAAAAAAATTAATTTCTTTAAAAACCATAGCACATTTCTCTTTTATAATGTTAAATCATATAAAAAATTACTATAATTTATCAACGTAAGACATGGGAAAACAATAACAATTACATTTAAAGGCCCAAGTGCAGTTGAAATAGGATAAATATGGGAGTAAAGGTGAAGCTGACATAGGAGCCAAGTTTGTTTACAGATGCGGTGATGCGCACCTCCGCTTGCGCCGTGCGTAGCCGGCAGCTGTGTGGCCGGCACAGCTGGCTTTCTCGACCAGGCTACACATCGGCACGCTCTTCTTGCTCTCTAGTTACATTTTTGTGCGGACGGAAGAAGTCTGGTGTTCAATCAATCAGAATGATGATGGTTTTGCAGGTGGCACTCGTGTGTGTGGCCGGCAACTTGTTGCTGCGGCAATCCTCGTCCTGTTGAAGAACGTGATGGCACTCCGGCACGAAAGCTGCCACTGGCTCATGCAAGCTGCCACTGGCTCATGCAAGCTGCCACTGGCTCATGCAAGCTGCCACTGGTTCATGCAAGCTGCCACTGGTTCATGCAAGCTGCCACTGGTTCATGCAAGCTGCCACTGGTTCATGCAAGCTGCCACTGGTTCATGCAAGCTGCCACTGGTTCATGCAAGCTGCCACTGGTTCATGCAAGCTGCCACTGGTTCATGCAAGCTGCCACTGGTTCATGCAAGCTGCCACTGGCTCATGCAAGCTGCCACTGGCTCATGCAAGCTGCCACTGGCTCATGCAAGCTGCCACTGGTTCATGCAAGCTGCCACTGGCTCATGCAAGCTGCCACTGGCTCATGCAAGCTGCCACTGGCTCATGCAAGCTGCCACTGGCTCATGCAAGCTGCCACTGGCTCATGCAAGCTGCCACTGGCTCATGCAAGCTGCCACTGGCTCATGCAAGCTGCCACTGTCTCATGCAAGCTGCCACTGGCTCATGCAAGCTGCCACTGGTTCATGCAAGTTGCCACTCGCATGTCTAAACAGAGAACATGTCCACACAATAAACTTGCCCACATACTCGGGACACAGTCGAGTTCAACTTCAGGAACTTGAAGCAATATTTGCATGCGTGTTGCACAATATTCTTGGCAACATTTAACCCAGAGGGTAAACTTGGCACTTTTAATCGCTTTATTTTTGTATTTGGATATTAATAGAATGTTCTTCATCCATTTGCTTTGGGTATTTATCGCTCTAGTTGTGTAGTTACCAATAGGTTTTGGGTTTTGTTCTGGTCGGTAATTTACAGACTGACCTTTGGCAGAACTGTAGCTTGTATTGTTACCGTTGACCAGAATTACTCGCTGGTTTAATTGTTCCGATTATAGGCTGTAAGGTTGACAGTCTCTGTCTCGGCATTATGGTTTAATTAGCTTCTGGTTTTCCTTATGAATGAGTCAGGTAGCCGTCAACTCCCAAAAAAGTTCATTACCGATTTTTTTTTTTTTAGTTAAAGTAGGAATTTTTGTTGGACATATATGTTTTTATTCAGGTATATTGAAAGAGAGAAGCCTGAAAATTGTTATTGCAATGCTTAGTATTTTTTCACATAAAATAATGGTGCTCAGTGAAGAACATATCTAGCCATAACATTTGAAGGAAAAAAATACTAAATAGTTTAAGAATGAAGGGAAAATAAATTGTCCAAATATCACACTAATAGCGACTGTTTTCAAATATTTAAAAATTAAATTCTTCAGTGAGTTGCGTTTCGGTCGTATATCCGTTGTTGAAGGCCGGAAGCAATGTTAATTTCCTGAAGTGTTAGTTTTCAAGCAGATTTTAATGAAACTACTTATGACAATGGAAATGTAATTTAAAAAATAACTGTAATGGAACAAGGTAAATTATTGGGAAGTCTCTCCATGAAATTGAAACATAATGAGAGGGAAATCTTGTCCAAAAAAATGGAATATAAAAATTGAATCAATGAATTATGCAACAAAACCAGCCATCGTCTCCAAAAACGTTAAAAGGAGAAAAACCTGGAGGGAACGTCTGGGGCCAGAAGGAGAAAGTACTGCGGAAGAAAGCGCCAAAAACCTGCTAAAAACCTTGCCACAAAAGGTCGTAGTGAAGGTACCCCGCTGAGGCGAAATTAGGGAGGAAGCGGACCTACCTGGGTTTTTGCTCACGTCTCTCTACACGCGCGGCGGGAGAGGCGTGGAATTCTGGCTGGCTGGTTGGTTGGCTGGTTGGTTGGTTGGCTGGCTGGTTGGTTGGTTGGTTGGCTGGCTGGCTGGCTGGCTGGTTGGTTGGTTGGCTGGCTGGTTGGTTGGTTGGCTGGCTGGCTGGCTGGTTGGTTGGCTGGCTGGTTGGCTTGCTAGCTGGCTGGTTGATTGATTGGTTGGTTGGTTGGCTTGCTAGCTGACTGGTTAATTGGCTGGTTGGTTGGTTGGTTGGCTTGCTAGCTGGCTGATTGGCTAGCTAGTTGGTTTACTGGCTGGCTTGTTAGTTGGTTTGTTGGATGGTTAGTTCTTTGGTTTGTTAGCTGGTTGGTTGATGGATGACTCCTAGTGAATTTTCAGAGTGACAGTGCAGTCAACATGATGACATTTAAAATTACTCAGCCTAGTTACCTTCCTTTGGGAAGGAAGCCAGCAAGACTATACAGCACTTGGAAGGGATATGGAACTGGTATGAGGAAGGAGGGAAGGTGATATTCCCAACCCCTTTTAACCATTGAAGATCGGACTCTGAATTAGCTAAATCAGGGACCGATTTAAAATCAAATAAAGACGCCAAATCATACTCTGCACCGACTAGTAGATGTATATTACTGCGGGAAGTGTTAAGTTATATTCCAAATATAAATATATATATATATATAATATAATATATATATGTATATAATTTTTATGCAGTCTTTAACTTCATTCATTTCTGTGTACTGACTCTTTCGCCAGAGCGAACTGTTTCTATTAACAGCTTGCACGTTCATAGTTGCCTTGTCTTGCCAAAACTAAATGAGCATTGTGTGCCTCTTCTTCCCCCCCCCCCCCCCCTCCAAAAAAAGAATAATTTCTTATAAAAAAATGCAAGTATTGATATTTTTCAATTGGACAGTCTTATCATCAAACGGGTGAACACAATTAATTGGAAATGAATTATATGTACCATAAGGAAACAAACTGCATAAATGTTAATTATTAGGGATTTTAAGTTTACATAAATCACGTAAAACTCCACAGAAGGTAAACCTGAGCTCCTTACCGGACCCTCTACGCACTGCCACCCAGACCATAACGTGGACCTACGCTGGTTGAGGCCTATTGACCTATTCACAGGTTAATGAGGTCATTACAAATTGCCAACCAACCCGCTAGTACACTACGGTCCTGACCTGTGTTTAGTACTGTAGTTTACTGTGTGTATACTCCGAAACGCGGAGTATACCCATCTTGGTGTACATATCCCTGGCCTGAGGGGACGCGAGAGAGGGGGGAAGAGAGAAGTTAGACAATGAGGAGGGGCATTGGGGGCGGGGGGTTGGGCATTGAGGGAGGGGTCATGGGTGTGGGGGGCAGGAGGGGGGGAAGAGAAACTGGCTGGACACGATGCATGAACCCCCCCCCCCCCGCCCTTCCGATAGGTTGTTAGGGTTGTGCCCAGATTGCTAAACAGGTCGTTAACCACACTGGACCAGGTATTCATTCATTTTGAAGCACGGTGGTAATTTATTTAGTCAAATGTAGTTTCACTTTCTCTCCTTTTGCATTGTCACTTTCTCTCTCTCTTTATAGTTTTCTTTTATTTTAAAGTATGCTGATATATGCATATTGTTTTAATATGTTGTTAATGCTTAAAGTTTCCTCGTTTTCTTTTATATATTTTATTCGCGTCAGTCTTCTAATTTTGCTTGCATTGACACCCACTGTCGTTGGCACAGCCCCCCTCAACACCCACTGTCATTGGCACAGCCCCCCCCCCTCAACACCCACTGTCATTGGCACAGCCCCCCCCCCCCCTCAACACCCACTGTCATTGGCACAGCCCCCCCTCAACACCCACTGTCATTGGCACAGCCCCCCCTCAACACCCACTGTCATTGGCACAGCCCCCCCCTCAACACTTACTGTCATCAAACCTCACTACCTTCTTTCGTCAGTACCCCCCCCCCCCTCTTCCCACCTCACCTAGTCATCATGGCCTAACCTTCAGTACAAACCACTCATCACCAATAACCATCCCGTTAACACGACAAATTTGGATCAACACTCGCTGGTAGGAACAACAAACAACCCGAAATCATTAACATGTACCACCTTGGTGACTACACCCACCTTTTGTCGCTAGCATTAACAGCCACCCGCAATACTACCTATCTGCATTAGTATCAAAACAGCGACTCGCTGGCATAACCGACCAACTCAGGTTGACCAGACCACACACTAGCAGGTGAAGGGACGACGACGTTTCGGTCCGTCCTGGACCATTCTCAAGTCGATTGTGACCAACTCAGGCTTATAAGCGAGGTATACATATAATAGACTTGGCTTCCCTGTAGCCTCTGTTAGGAGAACAGACACCGCACAGACACACCTCAACCATGAAGCGCCTCTCGTCTCATGAACCTTTTTTCTTGACACAACAGTGAAGGCTGACGTCCACAGCAGCGACGACGCGGTCTCGACGGCCAGCAGCACGAGCAGTTCCTCCCACGACCACCACTATGAGGATATCGACCCTGCGCTCATGGCTAGAGCCGCCGGTGAGGAAGGCCGTACCAGGGAGTCGACTCGTCGCGGACGCTCCCAGAGGGATGCCATTCAAAGAGAATCCTTCTCTTCCTCCTCCTCCAGAGGTATTGAGGATGAGGTTAGCAGTGAGGCCGAGCGGCACAGGCAGCGTCTTCAAGGACTCGACGATCTGATTGCGGGTGAGTGTGATCTCTGAAACATTCAGATGACTCGGCTAGCAGCCTCCGTCAAAACTCACATGACGTTGAGACTAGCATATGTTAACTGCATTGCTAAAGAACAAAAATGTTATCAACATTAGTGATGGTAATTATTCGAACTCGATTGATAATGCTAACAAGATTAATGAAAGTGATCAAGTTCACATATATCCTCACATTCACTGATGAAGTATATATAGGTTTGCCGTTTTGGGTTTTCCTTGTTCCTTCAAACTGAGGTTAATATTTATTTTTCCTTAATAGTAAATTGTAGCCTACTAAAGATGGCCCAAGGATGAAGAAGAGGTACATTTAAATATATAAAATAAGGTCGAAATACCAAGTCTTAACTTTACTACAGAAAAAAAAAAATTATTTTGCCGAGACTGAAGATGGCAGAAGTCTGAGTGCTCGTCATCTCAGCCAGTCCTCTTTTTCTCAAAGAGCGTGAGAAAGGTCCCGGGTAGAGTATGTGACCTTCACACTGCTCAGGAAGGCACAAGATCCTCTGATGAGCAAGCTGCAAGCAATTTTATGCCAGCAATTCCGTGCGTGTATACGCGTGTTTGTTCGTGTATGTAATTGTACGTGTTTTTGTATGAAAGTCAAGGTGACTTTATCTAACCGGACCGTCAGGTCTCCGTCGAGCGGCTTCCCAGTCCGGCCATCGACACGGGAAGTCCATCCCCCCCCATCCTTCACACTCCCCCTCGAGCCAGCCGCTGTAACAGTGTAACCTCTGTAACAGAGGTCTTGTGTTCTGAACACCCCGTCCTGTGGTGTTGTCTGTGGGGTCAGTATTGCTGAAACGCTGATCACCATTGGTAACAGATATTGTCCATCTGACGGTAGAGCGACTGTCTCGCTTCATGCAGGTCGGCGTTCAATCCCCGAGCGTCTAAGTGGTTGGGCACCATTCCTTTCCCCCCAGTCCCATCCCAAATCCTTATCCTGACCCCTTCCAAAGTGCTACATAGTCGTAATGACTTCGCGCTTTCCCCCTGATAGCTCCCTTCCCTTCGCAGCTGACGATGGTGTGAAAAATTGGTTGATATTCTAGGTTCTCTGTTGCTGGAAAGATACTGCAAGAATCACTAACTTTGTTAATTCCCGTTGTCTGGGACAGGAAGCCTGTATTTAGGCTTACCGAGGTCCCTCCATCTCACCTCCATAGGTCTGATCTTCACCTGGATGCAACCCACAACAGTCGATTGACTCTCGGGTACTTATTTACTATAAATTGAATAGGAGCATCGGGTGAAAGGAAACTTACCCAAGCATTTGTTCCGGCCGGGAAACAAACCCGGGATTCTTGATTGTGTCCTTACCTAATACAAGCCGAGGTGAGCATATGAATTGCTTGTCAAGCCCATCAGCAAATTTTTTTTAGTGTTTGGATTTCACTAAAATAGAAACTTTACAAGCGAATATGATGAATACATGATTACCAGCCCACGTGCATCTGATGATACTCGATGGTACCAACTTGCCAGTTGTTGTTGTTGTTATAGATCCAGCTACTCGGAACCAGCTCCAAGTAGCACGGGCTATGGTGAGCCCGTAGTGTGACTTACCTGACACAGGAGCGGTGAGTGATCTCACTTCCCAGTAGCTGCTTCAGTATCCCCTATGACCACACTTGAGATTCAGTAGCATGCTTATGTGATGATTCAGAAGATATGATCAAGTTATGCATAAGCTAAAGGATATTCAAAACGTAGATTATTTTTTTTAAGACATTCTCGAAGAATTTGAGGTCGTTTTAGATTTTTTTGACTTGATTTTAAACTTGGCTAATTCCGGTATTAATCAGTTTTTACGAATTACCATTATTTCATATAAATATAAAATATTTTCGATATATAAATTTGTATTAATTTTTCCATATTCTAAGTCTTTTTCCCAAATACAGTTCCTGAATTTTCAGTAATGTCTTGCCTATCCTATCATGCATGACTATCTATCCACCTTTTGTCTTGTCTTCCCCGCTTCATGCATCTTTCCCACCCCATCGTGCATCCCACCCCATCATGCATCCCACCCCATCATGCATCCCACCCCATCATGCATCCCATCCCATCATGCATAATTTCCCATCCCAGACCCATTCATTCACTCGTCCTATCGTGCAGTACAAATATTTCATTTTAGTCATGCTTCATATTCCAGTCATGCCAGACTCTCGACTCCTGCCTCATAGTAGTCCCTCATTCACGTTTTTCTCCAGCAGTTTCATCTTGCTCTTCATATATGTATTTCAAAATCTCTCTCTCCTCTCCAGTCAAATCTAAAGTCCATAAAAATGCATGCCACCGCAGAGGGGCTATAGGACTTGGCGAGCAAGTTTCATCCCCTCCAACCATGTTTTTTCACCCCGTGTCTTGTCTGCTGAAGCCACGTCTTCCCCCAAGCAACCATGACTTCCTCCTCCAACCATAACTCGTACACCTTCCAGCTATATCAAGTCCTCAGAACCCCCAATAAACCAGCCCGTTCTCGCGAGCGTTCCCAACGTCAAGAAACTGTCGTGCTAAAGTGCCTTAACCTAATAGAGGACCCACGGACAGAAAACGGGACATTGTCAATTTCTTGAGCTGCCACCATTTGCTAGGACACCAATTTTTTGGCCTTGGGTAAAGTATACGTCAAAATGTGACTTGCTACTAGTAGGATGGGTTGTATTAACAGGTGTTGATTCTGCCAGGGCCCTTACCTCACCCAACCACATCAAACGCACTCACATTAGTCTCCCTCAAGTAGGCATTTTCCTCTTCCAGTTACGTCTAGCTCTTCCCCCAATCATTATCTTGCCCCATTTCATTCGGAGGATGGCAAGAGTCTGAGCGCTTGCCTCATCTTCCATCCATCGAGTGTGAGAAAACCCCGTGTGGAGTCGTGACGGCAGTTGGCTCTGGTAACTCGGGTAAATACAAGACCTGAGCTCAGTCTGGTGCGCAAGTTGCAAGGAATTACGTAGCAGCAATTGTTTATACATGTTCGTGTGTGATCGCGAATGCAAGTGCACGATTCTTGCCACTTTCCAACCCTGTATTTCCCTATTCAGATCAGCTGATGTTTTCACTTCTCTTGTTACGCATTTTAAAAAGAAAATCGATTACTTCCCATACTAATCTGTTTCTTGCTCTCGTCAACAATGTATAACATTCAAACTTCTTCAAATACATCTCTCGACTCTCAATCATGGTTGATCTTCTAATCATATCTTATCCGGACCCAAACCACATTTATCACTCAAACAAATCTTACCCCTAAACACCTTCCAAATCACACCTGACCACTGGACGTTTGGCCCACAGGAGTGCCTCCACCCGACTACGACGAGCGCCAGGAACCACTGAGCGACGCATCAGCCAGACCTGACGTCCGTAGCAGTGGCCAGCAGGCGAGCATCCCGCCCCCACCTGGTACGTCTTTCTCAGAGTACCTAGGAATACACAGGAGTACATAGGAAAACAGATAACAAAAGACTGAACACTTTAGACTGGGTAAGCTGCTGGGACTGTAGTAGCTATTGTCCCTGTGGATGACAGATAGCGTTAAGCCAAAAAAGCAGGGGGCTCTCTACCCACTGTCCAATCTGACTTACACGGTAAACATCAAAATTTAGACCATTAATAGGTGGGAGGGTGGGATGAAGGGCAGAAGAACGGACGTAGGGACGTAGGGAGAGACAAAGGTAAGAAATAAGAGCACGTCTAGCGAGAAACAAATGAAAGGAAAAATGGGTCTGTGAAGATCGACATTGTGTAAGCGAGAGACGCAGGAGTTGATGCAGGCTCAGGAGAGAGTGAAGCAGACTCGTTAAGAGAGAAAGTGTTTGTGTCTGAGAGCAGCTCGCTTATTGTTCTTGCCTGGCCACACCCGCCCACCCACTCAGGACCTGGCTTCAGTTCCTGAAGCCTTCCTGTCTTTCAAACGACCTTCGTCTGCAGGGTATGGGGTGAAAACCGTTAATTCCATCATGGGTTTTACACTTCTCGTGTTTCCCTCTCTGTTTCTGTTTCCCGCACTTTGTTTTCTCCCATTTTTACCGGTTTCTTTAGCTTTGCTCTTCTTTCCTCTCTTGCTCTCCCTTCACCTCTCCTCGGTGTCATTGCTTTCTCTGTTGTCTGCGTCGACTGGCAGAACTCCTTTGTTTACTTTGAGACGCTGAAGGAATATTGTTTCTCACCCTGACCTGAGAATCCACTCCCACCTCTAGCCTCGTCCCTTCCCGAACCTCCTTTACCTCCAGCCTCGTCCCTCCCCGCACCCCCTTTACCTCTAGCCTCGTCAAAGTGGAGACGCGTCAGAGATTTGTAGAATTGAATAACTCTTCTTGTTCATGACATCAAAGTTACGTCTGACTATTCCTAAGTTTTGGTTGGTGCGTGTGTGTGTTTTTTTTTTTTTTTTACTGTAGTTCCCACTTGTAAAACTTTGTTGTTTATGGATTACAATATCACTATGGATCATTCACATAAGTCACGAAGACAGTCTTTTAGTTTGATAAGCTATTATCAAGTATTAGGCTATTCTGTCCATTTTATGATGTATGTTATCATCATTGTAAACTTGTTTGAGCTTCCTAAAAAAAGTCGCTCTGAAGATTTCAACTTATCCTTGAAAACACTTAAGTGTGTGCTTAACGGTATTCATTTTCTCTAAATGTTGTGCAGTACTTGCTGGTGTATGTGTTTTTTATTATTTTGTATTTATATATACAAGAGTTCTTACATTCTTGTAAAGCCACTAGCACGTATAGCGTTTCGAGCAGGTCCTTAATCCCAAGTGTCCCCGGAATACGACCCGTCAAATCGTTTAGCAACTAGGTACCCATTAGTTACGGCTTGGCGCCCGGTCAATCCACCCCGGCCAGGATACGAACCCAGGCCAAAGCGCTCGCGAAGCGCTGGGGGACAAAGAGCCTTACCACTGAGCCACGAGTATCTGATTTTTATATATTTTTTTATTCGGCTGTTAACAGCCAATATTTTGGCTGTTAACATCTTGGTAGAAAGGTACGTTAAAATGAAAAGTATATTTATAATCCTCGTTTTCCATTTTAATCTGCAATAATATTCTTGATGTATATTCTGTTTAGCTGTTTTGGGGGGTTTTGAAAGTGAACGAATTGCTTAAGAAATGTATGTTTTGTTTTATTTTCTATTCTAGTATTGTGGCCACTTCTCTTTATTATTGATGAAGATGATACAGCCTGTATTCTGAATAAGAGAACGACTCGCTTAAGGTTACAGCTCTTGACTACACAAACATTTTCAAATCTGTTCCTGCTGATATCCAGATATTTTAGTGATGCAGGAAGTGGGAAACGATTACAAGATACGCGTTCCTCTGTAATCACTCTCCTGCCTCTCCTTCCTCCCCTTCCCTGAATACAGGAAAGGAACTGTGACCGATAACCACAGGCAGCGTCTTCCAGTTCTCTCACTCGTACTAGACAACCCCCCGATCTCGTAAATTCAGGGACAATCCTACTTTTTTCGTTACGTTTATTAATATTTTTATTAATTAACAACATACGGTCGAGCCCTTTGACGCAACCAACTTCCAATTCATTTGTGTGGAGAATTAAAAAAATAGTCCACGGAACAATTGCTTAGAGCCGGGTCTCCCATTGTTGTCGCAGGGGACATGGCCGACCGGCGAGCCGGAAGCTGTGGCCGGGGATACGGATCTGGGCTGTAAAAATGTTGGAAATTCCATTCGATATAGCCAGCAATTGAAATAAGTTTACCGAGGTATGAATACACACAAAGGGATGAGGTAGCTCGAGCTATTCTTATCCCGTTTAGTCAGCGAGTCAAGTTCAAGTTCAAGTATGTTTATTGAGATAAGCAATAAATACATCTCAAAGGGATAGAGTAGCTTAGGCTATTTCTACCCCCCTAGTCAGCGATAATGTCTGTGTGTGTTTGGCTGGCTGGCTTTAGGAAAGAAAAGTCAGATATGGAAAATTACGATGAGGCACAAAATTGACGAGGTAAGACGAGGTAAGAGAAAGATAACATTGCGTGTCAGGAGGTGTTTGTAAGTGGGTGGATCGCTTAACACCAGTTATAATAGCTTCTTTGTTACGGTTCCGCCATCTCTCGCTGGCTGAACTAACTGTTGATCTGTCACGCGTGTTCTAGTCCTTGCTAATAATGGCTGACGCGTTGCACAACTTTTCACTTGATGCTGGTCGCTATACATATACTAACTACAATTATCTTATTCACGACAAAGAGCATTAAGATGTTTCATAACAGCAGTTTCAGTAACAGTCTATGGAACTCCCTCTCTAATGATTTAAACAAATGTCTAACCTATGCCTTGTTCATAAGACATCATGCATTAACCTGCGTGTTTACATTGCTTTGATTTTTTTAATCCGCCTGTACTGAACCGCATTTTGTTTTCAATTTATATTGTTTTTAAATATCAGCTTAAGTCATTTTGTGACGTTTGTTTTGTAACTGAATTTATTAAAAGCTCCGTGGAGTCGTCAGGAAATTTTATGAATGTTTTTGTTCGCAAATATTTTTATATTTACAAGTAAAGCGATCAGCTGTGAGGTGTCGTGACAGGCCTTAGGCATTCCACTTGTCCTTTTTCAAGACTCAAGACTATCGATAGGTGTGTTCTCAAACTTCCTAGTTCGGTTGATGCGAAGGAAAGAAATTACCTTTTGCGCTACCGTCTTGAGAATCCAGGTGTCGTTCTTGAGAATCCAGGTGTGGTTCTTGAGAATCCGGGTTTCGTTCTTCAGAATCCGGGTTTCGTTCTTCAGAATCCGGGTTTCGTTCTTCAGAATCCGGGTTTCGTTCTTCAGAATCCGGGTTTCGGGCTTCGGCAATTAACGACTGACTGGGAAATTAAGTTTTATGAGACTGGTTTCACGCATTGTGGCGCCCGCGTCGCTTCTGGCAGGGAATCCTCGAAGCATTGGACAAATAGTTGTTAAATCCACCAACTGTATTAGATCTTCTCAAAGTTAATACACGAAAAAATAATATATATGATTCTCGACTGATTATATTAGAACCTTTCTGTATCTGAGACGAACCATTTTAAAATACTTTATCCCTGTAATGTACATGGAAAATAATTACTAACAGAATTTAAAACTAACCTAATCAAAAACTAAAAACCTAATCAAAAACCGAATCAAAACTAACCTAACTTACCCAAAGCCAAATTATACACAACTTATTTATATCGGTTGAGAAAACAAAAGAAACTTATTTTTATTGTGCAGTAAAGTTAAGAACGTGTCCTGGAAGACGGCCGCAGCTTGGAAAAGCATAGCCTGAGGAAAGGTTCCTACAGGATTAACTTTGAGAGTCTTTCGCTTCAAGCAGGACTCGTCTTAGTAGTCTTGTTCAGTGTCACTCAAGGCTCACGTCAGCAGTCTTTTGGGCTCGACTCTGACAACCCAACCTCGGGGTATGCTGTCTAAGCTACGGCCCTCCCACATAGGCACATTTGTATAAACTGTGTGTATTCAAAGTCAACTTTTTTTTAATATAAAATATTCCTTTTAAATATAAAATATTTCGTGTACAGTTACGCCAAGGTAAAGCTAGGTGTTCAGCTGTAAACATTTTGTAAAACTGTCCACTAATATGCAAATAGACCAAATATCTCTATAACAGAAGTCCAGGAATACTGTAGAGTGTAGTTGCGTGCCCTAAGGACACAGCACCGCTCCTGTGCCAGGTATAAGTTACGGGTTCACCATAGCCCGTGCTACTTGGAACTTGTTCCGAGTAGCTGAATCTATAACAACAAGTTGCGTGCCAGTCGTACATGTGTATGTTGTGGTGTAGCTGGGATCATTAATCCTTTTGCTCGGACCGATCTTCTCCCCGACCTCTGGAGCAGAAGAAACTCGCTAACGGGATCACTCTTAAGACAGTTAACACCTCGCCCACAGACATGAATATGGAGTTATGGGTTTGCTGTTATATTTTATGAGTAGCGGATGTAGTCAGGTAGAGCTGGCAACTGCTACGGGTTAACATGACAAAATGAATCTTGTCTGATAACTAGGACTTTCCATATACCATTAGAACTGGTGAGGACCTGCCAAAAATGTAGTCCCATTATTCAAGAAATGAAACACATATACTAAAAGATATTTTAATCAATTATATTATTTATTAACATTCATATCTTGGACGTGTTTGGAAAAGAGAATCCTAGAACACTAGGAGGGAATAATCTTTGTAAAGAAGGGGCAATAAGCTATCAGTGGACTCAAGTTATTCCTGACAACCTTTATAGAGTTCTATGACAGGTCACCAAGATCCGTCGGGAGGAAAAAAGCTGGTCATATCTCGTCCTAGACGGTTGAGAAGCTTATGATTTTGTTCCACACAGGGGGATTGTGGCAAAAGATGAGACACAAGCTTAGATAACTGTAGAGTTCTAAAGAGGGCAATAGTCTCTGATGGGGAGGAAACAAAGGAGTCGTAATCAGAGAGGAGTGATCAGGCTAGGAGGAGGTAGAAATGGATCTTTCATAGGTCTATGTCCTAGGTCTGTTGCCGTCTCAAATTTATATGAACGATCTACCCGAGGGAGCGAGTTTCAATATTTGCAAATGAAATGCAGATTATGCAAAGCTAATGAGGAAAGTCTTCAGAAAGATTTCTATAACCTCCAGATGTGGGCAGGCAAAATGGTTGTTATTTAAACCCCAACAGATGTAAAGTAAGGAAGGTGGGGATATAACCCCAGGAGAAGCGAGAGAAACATTTGATGAAAGCTGGAAACTGTCGAATCACAAAGTATTAAATAATACTCGACGTTCCCTGTAGCAACAAGAATGCATTGAAGGCCTAATGAAAGCCACATCCATCCACGTTTCAAAAACAGATAAAGCTCAGATCTTTAAGGTCTAGATCAGTCTCACATTTCATGTCTCTCCTGATTTTTAGTCAAAGTTGATTTGTTTTTGTATTGAGGCAGTAATTTCTCCCCTGATTCCATATATGACTCACCATCCTGGGAGATGGGGATATTAGATGAACTTACAGCTAGTTTTTGATCTACACTGTAATCCTTCATATAGAATAGGGTAGCAGCACATTGCTGTGTATACTTAAGCTTGTTAATAAAAAAAATAATTACAAAAGCGTTCCAGGTTTAAAAAAAGCTCTAGGAACTATAGCGTAGTTACTAATAGCTAGTAACTGTTAGATAGTTACATACAGGCGAGTCGACATGCACGACATATGGTGGTGGTTGTCTTACTGTTGTTGTGGGAAAGACCCTGAGGCTCTCACCTCGGCAGCACGTTAGCCCAAGTTTGGTTCTCATTTGTTCAGTAGTTTTGTGTATGTCTACTTTAGTATGACACTCTGGTTTCTGTATTTGTTTACCTCTTTGTTACACCCGGCTAGATGGGTATAGGAACAGACGCCTTCTGACTCCTCTTAGCAGGCATAGACCTTCCCATTTCCATAGCTCATAGTAAGCCTCACTCACTAGTTCAAGGACGTTTATTGAGATTGAGACAATAAAATACATCTCAAAGGAATAAAGTAGCTTAGGCTATTTCAACCCCCTCCCCTCCCCCTCTCCCTCTCACTAGTTTCCCTGGAACACGTCCAGTCAATCACTTAACTGAGGTGAACAGTTTTAAGGATTATCGCCCGGTCAATCCTCCCAGAGCCTAGTTGAAAGCAGTCATGTCCGTTTTAAGACGAGGTCTCAATAATGGTGTACTGTAGTCCAGTTGGGGAAGGCGGAGTAGAGGGCACCAGAGATTTATACAGCTGAATAACCTCTTTTTTTTCTTCAATTCAAATGTTCGTTTGATTATTATTTAAGGTTTTATTGGCTTTTACTGCAACTTCTACTTATAACTCTAAGCCCCTTTTCTTTATCATTCTTCTGCATGGTCGTGCTATGGTAGTGTATTGTCATGGCTCTATATCTCTCTTGTATGGTCTTGTACATTTCAATATTAAAAAAAAGATCTTCCCAGTCTTCCTACCATTAGTGGTTCGTGTAAATCACTGTACAAGGCCTCAATGTCGTTTTTGCTTCCTACTTTAGATCTTTGTTTCACCTTCAAATTTGATGATTGCAGTATTAATGTAAATTTGAGGTTCTCTTTGAAGGAATATTAGGCGAGATATTGTGCCTTCTAGAGTTCCCCAGAGGCACAATGGTAACAAAGGCTGCAAAGGGCACTTCATATTTGGATCGTTATGTATAGTGGCTACGTTTTCTACTCACAATTGAGGATTCCAAGTGCGGTCTCTGGGTGGAAGCGAAATGGTTCAGCACGTTTCCTTTCACATGATGTCTTTGTTCACCTAGCAGTAAATGAATGAGTTAAATTAATTGAAATGAAAGGAAAATGTTTTAGTTAGTTAACTAGGTAAAGGTTAGGTAACTGTTGTGGAGTTGAATCCAGGGGGTAACCCTTCTCTTGGTTTGCCACCATGTACAAAATACAAAGTGCTAACCTAACAGAAATGTACAAACCAAAGCAACCCCACCAAACCTAAGCTACTAATGCACAGAAAAAGTGGGTATTTGTGAGCCAGTAAATTTCATAGTAGTGTTTGTAATATGCACTTTGTAATATGTATGTTGGGGACCATAATGTATCAAATTAAATGTACACGTTCAGAGGACAGGTTGCCTGGTGAGGGTCAGTAATTCAACTTTGAGGGGGACATTAATACAAATTTGAATTATATATGTATAAACAGGTTTTCTGTCTCTAAGAAAAGTAATTATGAAGAACTAGAACTTGGAAGTTATTGGATTTTTAGTTATTTATTTAGTTACCTAAGAGTTTCAACTCATAGCCCCTTTATTTGCTAGAGGGGCTAAGGGTCATTGGTAATATTGAGGCAAATTTGTACTGGCTGGCCATTGTCCCTGTGCTTGAGCTTGTTCGCTATAGCTTGCAGGACCAAGAACTTGCCTTTCAAGTTTGGTGGTCACTTGCTCAGGATGAATTCTGCTGCATTATTCAGAATGTTTTCCCATACTATTTTTGGCATAAGTGTATATAATTACAGCTGTTATTATGCCATTAGGAGTGTAATAAACATATTCAAATCTTTTATGTATTGTATATTAAAGTTAGAGTACCGCATGGTAACATCTCTCAATATTTCATTCAGAATTTGGTGATGGCAGCGGCAGAAATGTTAACGGGGAAATCTCGGGGAGGCGCCAGTTACACTCGACACTCTCCGTGCCCACTACACCCTCCAGCAGTGTCCATCACCACCACCAGGGACGTGCCCCTCTCACTCGAACCAATTCAGAGCCACCTCCCCCACCCCCAATGCCTTCGGCTACTCCCTCCCCCAGGACCTCGCCCTCATCCTCTCACAGGACTACTCAAGAGGTGGATGACACCTCTCCAGCCTCCTCCAAACCTTCATCACCCAGATCTACCCACAACCCACTAGAGGAAAGAGAAGATGAAGGTCCCAGCGAAGAAGCCGTAGTTCGGCCATCAGAGTTTATCAGAAGAAATTCTCATAGGAGTGAAAATGGATCCATTAAAGGTAGTTACATTTTTATTTATCAGTAGTCTAGAGAGGCAGTTTGGTCATCATACAGTATTCTCTTTCTATTTAAATTTATTTCACATTTTGTATGTGGAGGACTGGACATTTTATGATGCATTGTTTATTACTTTCTCATGGTGCTTGATTAGTTCAGTTCAGAAGCATTAATTTGAAACACTAGATCAATGTGACAAGCAATGGGAGGAAAAGGGAGCAAGATGATATGCACCATTATTCATCAATGATATGATTAATGTGATTGAAGTGCCACTAGTCATTTAGGCTGCAAAAAATTATGCTAATTTGAAATACACGTAGTAATTATAATTTAATAGTTCATTGTGTTGGGGGACAGCCAGCCGGTATATATATATACAGTACAGTATATACAATACATGTTAGGCTTATATCGAGGTTCCTTCCAGGGTCGAATTACCGACCCTCCTCAGGATGCAACTCCACAACAAGCTCACTAACTCCTGGGTACCTATTTACTGCTAGGTAGACAGGAGCATGAGGTAATAGGAAATGCTTCTCACCACTTCTGTGCCACCCAGGATTTGAACCCGGTTTTCTCGATTGTGAGTCAAAAACGAACCTGACTGTATTACCGGGATCCCTCTTGCTGTACTGGACTGATGTTCCAGTACAATTTTCAATGTTCATTGCCTTTACACTCTACTTGGATGCCTGAATCATAAAGACAGAATAAATATAGAATTTTTATTAACAAATTTGTAAATTAGATATTAGTTTAAATGTAGGTAGCCAACACAGAACCACAGTAGGCTTTATGATGTGCCAGGGTCAGCTGGGAGACAAGTAGGATGATGTAGTTATGGCAGCAGAGATGTCAGTAGATAGCTGATGAATGATGGTGGGTCTACATTCAATATCAGACGATGACAACTGAGTGGAAAAGTGAATGAAGTAGGTCAAGGAGGTAGAGCCATCCAGAGTTGGTGGTTCATTGGTCCTACAAATCATTTACCAATACATTCCTGCAAGGAAAAGACAAAATTAGACAATTTTAATGAATGAACAATAGTGCTTAAGAGTATCGTGTATGACAATAGTCTGCTACTTGTGAATGACTAGGAATCGGTCATCCAATACTGTATCTAAGAACCATTCTCACCCTTTAGGGTATTGGACTCCACAAGTGAAATTAAGGTGCAGCCACAAGAGAAGTCAAGAGAAAGGCTTCCCTAATACTTCATTCTATAGATCACAAATGTAAAACAAATAAACATATTAAGAACACAGCAGAAAAATGTATTTAGAAATAGGAGATTCACTAAATGAGTTTATCTTTCTGACAAAATAGTATTGCACATTCTTTTGGAATGAACTCACTTTGACCAGTGAGAAACTGCTCTCATCTCTAGTAAGTGGGCTCTCCAATTATAGCAAGCCTCTTGAGCAAATCAAAGACTTGCTATATCCTCACCACATGCTAATCTAACATAGAATACTGTACTAGGTTTCCATGTTAGTCTTGTTGCATTCTGTTGGGTCACACTCCAGGTAAACCACTCATGAATGCATTAGAGCTTTCCTCTCTGTACAATGTCTTTCTAAGAGTAAAAGATTAATAGTGACTGACATACTAGTTCCACTCATAGCTTTTGATTAATTTGAGCCTTCCAATGTGCACAAGCAAACTAGGAACATTTTGAACAGAGAAAGTGTTTTGAGATAATTGGGCTCCTGGCCAGGACTATAGTATACTCAGCCAGCAGCTAGTTAACCAGATTTGTTAGATTGCCAGAGATCACATAACCCTGAGGGTTGAGTCATGAGTAAATTGATAATTCACATAAATACTTTGTCATTTCTTCTTGCTACTTTAGTTGCATAACTACAGGGGCAATCATCAACCTCTTCCTATATTCTTATGTTTCATTTCAGGAAAGCTTCAACTGGTTTCACTAAGACTAGCATGCTAGTCTGCAGTAAAGATTCTGAATTAGTCCACTCTATTACATATTTTTTTCCTGTTAGCAAGAGTTGGGAAAGATGATACAGAGTATATAAAAATGATTTAACATGTACTGTAAATTCCATTAAACTCTGTTTGGGATCTTTCTGACTGGATAATAATGAATGAATGAATGTAAAAGACAAAAGCTGACATTATTTTAGTATTCAGAAATAATGTTTGTGCAGTATTTAGTTTACCTATACAGTATACTGCTTTTTCATTCCAGGGCACAAGAAGTTGGACAGACCTGTGTCTCTACCACTGAATGTTGCAGAACATTATGGAAAAATTATGTCAGACGGGAAAGATAGGGACTCTGTAGGTTCAAATGAGGATCTGACTCAATCCCCACAGCTTGGAAAGTCACATAATGTAAATGGGAAAACCCTACCCTTTATCCCTCCAAAGTTTCCTACACAGCCATCAGATTCTGGCCTCATAAAACCTTCAGAGTACCTTCGTTCTTTGGGAGGAAACATTTGCCGTTCACCCTCAAATGGTGATGCCAAGTCTCCAAATGGATCAACCCATGTAACTGATATCACTTTACATCTTTCTGATACTCCCGATAATATTAACAATGCTGCCCAAGCCACTGTTCCTCCTGGACCATTGAATATTAACAATGCTGCCCAAGCCACTGTTCCTCCTGGACCATTGCCAGCCATTCCAGAGGCAACTGAGGAAGAGCTAACCAAGACTGCAGCAAATACACCACCACCTCCCCCTGCTCCACCTGCTCCTCCAGCATCAGCTACAAATACACTCCCTAGCCGAAACAACACCCTTACCAACAGCACCAGCAGTAACAAAACAGTCTTGCCCACAATCAGCGTCACAGACCTACAGAGTGTACAACTGAGAAAGATAGAGACTAAGGTTGCAAAACCAACATCTGTTCCTCTGCGAGTTCCAATTAGTAAGTTAGGGTTTATTGAAAGCTGTATATATTGTTAAGAAATTTGTTAAATTTGATAATGCATACATTAAATATGAAACTTAATTTTTATTGGGTTTAAACAACATATTTTATTAAATTGTATGCCCTTAGCTTAAGTTTATACTGTACATTTAACAGCATCCGAGGCAGCCTTTACTACTGCAAAAAATGACGTAATTGCCGAGCTCAAGATGGGTGTTGACATTCCTGGCATCAAAAAATTGAAATCCGAACGTGCAAAGGAGGAGGAACTTCATGAGAAATTGGAGGGAAAGGAACTGAGTAGACAGTTTTCTGCTGTACATTTTGTTGATCAAGTAAGTTACACGTGTTCAGTGTACTTCAGTGTGCTATAAAAGAAAATTGTAGTTGTGTAGGCCTGTAATTAATATATATATATATGTATATATATTCTGTATGTATCTATGAATGTACTTACCCAGTTGTACTTGCCTAGTTGTGCTTGCAGGGGTTGAGCTCAAGGTCTTTGGTCCCACCTCAAACCTGTCAATCAACTGATGTACAGGTTCAACTGGTGTGTGTGTATAATATAATATAGTGTATAATATAATATAATGTAGTGTATAATATAATATAATATAAATTCCCACACACACACACATGTGTGTGTATATGTATGTAGTTCAGCATTTACCAAGCTTAGGATGTTTTGCTTTGCATGCTGGAGTACAGTATTTACTTATGCCATTGGGAGGCATTTGGAAAGTCATTAGTTGTAGAGCATATGAGAAAAGACTGCCAAACATACTACCCTAGATGTCAATGCTTATTAGTACTGTAGGAAACTGATTAAAGATAACATATCTCGGCCATAGACACCAAAAAGATCTGTTGTAATTTAAGTGACCCCTGACCTCCAATTACTGATGTTTTAAAGAAGTAATTTTTAATAAGAAAGTCAAAGGTCCTTCGAAGGTCAGTAAGCCAACCAAATAGGCACTCATTTTAGTCAGGGGGGTGAATTTCATGTATGTTGTGGTATCATTAGTGGTCTTTAAGGTCTGAAGCCAAATGGACAAGGGCAGTATATTATATTTAGCTTGGTAGGAGGAGTAAACCTATTTTTATATAATTTCTCAACTATGTTTGATAAGACCAAAATACTGTCAATTAATGTACTGTATGTAGGTGTTAATCTCAGAAAGTTCTCTAAATTTGTAACCAAACCATTTTTGACATGCCTATGTACATGCATTACATACAAACCTAACTGTTCAGAAAATCTCCCATATGAGATACATAGCTTTTGGCAATCCAAAAGAATATTTCTGTGTATATTGAATGTTTGCAGAAACTTTTGTACAAACCCTGAGTATTCTATTCTACTTCCTTCAAGTTCATCAAATACATATAAATACTGAATTTTAAAAACAGTTTTTTCTTAATACAGGTGCCAGAAGTAGACAATGCAGGTAACAGAATCCCAGATTGGAAGCGCCAGATGCTAGCCCGGAAAGCTGCTGAGAAAGCCAAAAAAGAAGCAGAAGAGTCACGATTACAGGAGGCTGAGGAGAAGCGCTTGCAATCAATTCCACCTTGGAAGAGACAACTCTTGATGAAACAAACTGATGACACAAAGCGGTGAGAACTGTGCAGAGTTAATATAAAACTGGTGATGATAATTTTGTATTTTAGGTTTAAAGAATTACTTTTAAGATGTCGGCATGAAATTTAGAATAGCCTATACATGCAGCTCTTTAGCGAGTTTGATTTTGAAAAATTAGAAGACAAACTGATAGTAAAACTGTTTTAACTGAAACCATATATACTTGAAAATAAATAAATTTGTTTTTAAGTCAGAGGTGACATTGAAAATTTAGTTAAAGCCTTTGCCATTAGTCTTTTCGTAAGTAGACTAGTATTCGCATGTCTGTGTATGAAAATTTTGAGCATGACATCCTATACAGTACAAAGATCGAGTGCATAATCATTCTAAATATGAAGTCTTAATTGATTAAAGTAGTCCCTCGCGGTCACTTGTCCCTCGATAGAATTCTTGGTGAATCGGATACTTTTTATATCGTTCGCCTTATGCATTTCTGTTCTCGTATTGACATTCTTGGTGATAATTAGTGCCTTCTGATTATTTCGCATTTTGATGGTGTTACATAGCCTTCCCGGTTTGGTGCCTTCTTTTGATAATTACTTACTTACTTGATTAAAGTAGCTCACTTTATGATATGATATCAGCCAGACTTAATGACTTTCCTCTATTTATACACTTTCACCACCCTGGCTCATATTATCAGCAGTGATAGGAAGGTCTCGGTAGTACAGTTTGGTTTTTTGACTCGATCAGGAATCCTGGGTTTGAGTCCCAGGCGGGATAGATATGGTTGGGCATGTTTCCTTTCACCTAATGCCGCTGTTCACCTAACAATAAATAGGTATCCAGGAGTTAGTCAACTTTTGTGGGGATGTAACCTGGGGAGAGTCAGTTGTTCGACCTTGAAGAGGGTTGGGGGACCTCGATATAAGCCGTGTGTGTGTGTGTGTGTGTACACAGGCTGCCTGTCCCTGACAAAATAAATTATAATTGGGTCACTTGGCTTTGTTCTTGACTCTCAATTGGGGATCCTTGTCTTGATTCCCAGGAGGACCAGAAATCAATGCTCTGATTGTCTTGCACAGCCAGAGTGAGGCATGTCAACTCTTCTAAATATATAGAGAGCAACAGAATAAGCTATACATATGCAATTTATCATTATTGCTCGTGTTATGGAATAGAATGATGGAATTTTTGGGGTGCTCGGGAGAAATCCTGGAATTATATATAGTTACAAATGCATCTATACTAAAAACTCGAGTTTCTTAGTGTTACTGTATGTTGTACAGTATATATAAAAATGTACACATGTAATTTAGCAGTATTAATGTCTGTATTACCACACATCCCACTCCCCTGTATGTATACGTTCATTTAATACTATGCAAAAGCCAATGTATCTTGGTACAGAAGATGAGTCTGCAGTGATTAGTGCAGATGGCTTGCAACTGACTGGATCTCGCAATTCCCAAGCAGGGCGAGATATTTGACCATGTTTCATTACTCTCGATGCCTCTGTTTACCTAGTAGTGATTAGGCACCCAGGAGTTAGGTACAGTAACTATTGTGGATTGCATCCTGGGGAAGGTCAGCCATTAGACTTATCGAGGTTCCCTCTCAACTAACAGGCTTCCTGTCCAAAACAGTCGCAAAGGCATAATATTTTGCTTTTCTGAAACTTTCCTATTTAATGAAAAAGATCCCATGTCACCCTCTCTACAATAAACAAATTTGTTAATTACAACTGAGTATATATGGCATATAACAATATTTTGTACGTACAGTAATAATTCAAAGGAAACAGAAGTGGACATACATCATAATGTCCCCTGTAAAAGGGCTATATGATATAGAGAACTATTAACACACAACTAACCACAATGAAGTGTTTTATTTAAATGTTGCATTTCTATAAACACAGTTTATTAGAGACAAGATATGAGGCATAATTAATTTTGACAATGTTTGAGCTATGAATTAAGTAAAACTGTTAGCATAATGTAACGTAATGTAATACTCTTTGTGCATAAGCATTTCCCAAGTTATTATGAATGGAAGTGCTGTAAGCACCATGTTCTGGTGGGTCCTTTTAGAGAGGAATATGGATTTAGGGAAGGTTAATGTTTGCTACCAGTGCAACAGTCCTTTTTCCAAAGGTTCGTGTCAGGTCAAGGAAGTAAGGAAGACTGGAAAAACTAAATCCGACAGAAAATAAACTCGTAGGGTTCATTAGGAATGCGTTTTAACTCTCCCAAATAGATGGTCAAGTGGAAGAAAGATACCCAAGCACAGCATATTAATAACACAAATAGAAAATCTAAAGAGGGGGGGGTATCCAGACATAAACAAAATCCAACCAAGTTGCACTTTGCATGCTGGAGTTGAAATTTAGGCTTGGTCACCAGAGGGCGAAATTTGTACCGCAACAAAAACAAAAATGCTCTGGATAGAAGCACAAAGCCAATGACCAGCAGGCCAAGTGAATCGGTCGTCTAGGAAGACTAAAACACTGGTCCCAAGAACTAAAGCTCTCTTAAAAACTAATTCAAAATGGTGGAGAAAGTTTTTGAAACCATATTTGGCTTAAAAGTTAGCAGTTGTAAGTGCTAGGTATTGCCAAACTGGAATTCCTGCTAATTCATGAATCTGATGGATAGGAAAAGCCAGTAGGCATCCTGAAGATTCAAGGAAACAAGCAGTGAATGACTTAGTCACCTGGCAAACCAGACACAGCAGATAAGGGAATTAATCTCCAAGTCAAGGATTGGTCTTCTCTTGGGAGAGTTCCACACAAGGAAGAGAAAGGACTGAACTTGTAATGATTGTTGCCCTCATCATACCCCCTTAAAACATTTCTGAATATGGAATTAGAGTATGTGCCTGCCAACTGCCATGGAAAGCTGTCTGAAAATGAGGATACAAAGCCCAGAATAGATTTCAAGATGCCTGCAAAGCCTAGGTATCCCTTGCTCAGACTTGCTAAAAAACCTACAGAAGTCCACCCATCACTATCATTGTGGCCCTCCACAAGAGGACAGTAAATGTTCACATAATCATCCAAGAGACAGGTGGAGCCTGGTATTGCACACCAGAAGGAGCCATAGGTAAAGGAACTGCTCACTTTGGAGGGAGGGGGAGTGAACAAGAGCCTCTGCTCTACCCACGAGTCTGAATAGAAGTGTCTTGCAGAAGGAAGAACGGGCAAGCTACAGCCAAAATGTGTTAAGATTGACAAGACAAATGTTAATCCTTAAACACCAACTATACCACTTCAAGGAATAAGGGGGCACAAAAGGAAGAGGATAATAAAATCCAAGCAGAAACCTGAAACTGATCCAACTCTGCATATCTGCAAGTATGCAGTGAAATAGTTTGGAAACTGAACTATAAAGAACTGTCCCAAATAACTTGGGCAAAGCTGCAGATGCCAATATAAAATGGGCATTGTGCTTAACCTTTGTTGGTGAGGCCACTCAGTCTGAAGCCGGGAGAAGAGGAGCTTCTGACAGGCAAGCTACTCGAGACTACTGCTAAGCTAAGTATTATGAGCAGACTGCTGAGTGAGAGACTAGCAGTCTCAGACCATACCTAATAAACAGTACACGCACTGGATGAAAGCAACCCTACACTCAGATGGAGGAATGTCAAAGGCAGCATGGATGACCTTCAGGATGAAAGTACTTAAGTTGACACCCTGCAAAGTGGCACTATGCAGAATTATGCCACTCTTTGGATGGGGGTTGCCCTCTTCATACTGTGGTCCAGGCCAAAAAGACAAGCGTTAGCCATAATCTGACCATATTCTGTCCATGTCCAACTAAAGGAAAGAATGGTCAAGGGTAACCCATAACCAAAATAAAACATTTCATGGACAAATACAGGCCATGAAAATAACAATCAAATTTTACCTGGGATACGCAGAGCAGATCGCAGAACAGATCGCAGATCGCAGAACAGATCGCAGATCGCAGAATCAAGGAAAAAGCAATAACCAAAGGTATACTTAATCTGCATGCACATCAAAATTGTCTATGCCCTAGAACAAAATCCTAAATAGAAAATCCACTGATGTGGTGGTACTAACTAAACCAGACCAGAGAAGGTAGCTCTAAAAATCTGGTAGGCTAAAAAAGTCTAGAGGCATGTACCAACTGTGTTTATACCTTCACGAGAACCATCCACTAAATAATGAAAGCAGTTGTTAAAGATTGCCTACATCAATTAACTAAATTATTTTGGTTTCTACCAGACTGAAATGCATATGGGAACAGTGTAATAGTCATTCCCTAGGTCTTTCTGCTCTAGATTGAATGTTCTCCTGCATTTTCCTTGCACCAGTTATAACCTGACAGACAACTGAATATCCATACTGGTGCAGAATGCCGACCTACCCATATTGTAAAATACATAATCCTCTCCATGGAAACAACAGAGCCTTGCCTACTGGAGTAAAAGTGGTAAAGCTCAGAAAAGACCCCTTTATATATTCTGCCTCGTGAATCTTGGCACAAACACATTTTATGATTTCTGTATCTGTTTCAAGCTTTTTACCTTGTATCTTTTTCATGTGTTGTGTGTGTATTATACCAGTTATAATTAGCATGATACACACACACACACATCCTCTCCAGTAACTATACATCTACTTTTCAGGCATTCTCTACTGTACATATTGTATATAGCAAACAATTTCTTGCCTTCTGTATTTAATTTTTGTGCCTAAGACAGCTTCCTCATGTCTTCTGTACCTATTCATCGGCTGTTTCATGCCTCCTCTCTTGTGCTTATACATTGGGTGCATCTATCTATAGTTATCTTCCCACTAATGTCTTCTCTTAGAAATTAAACTAATCCTGTAAAACTTGTATTGTCAGTTTAACAAAGTAGTTGACAATTTGACTAACACTGCATCCACACTTAACATGAATTCAGTGGAATAGTTTGTGAATTAATGGCTAATAGATATGGTAGCTAGTTGACTAGTGGCAGTCCTGTATGTCTTATTTGCATGCAATGTATAAGAAATATAAATTACTTGGAAAATATAATAAGGCTTGCCTTGGTTACTATACACTATAGTATATGATCTTCCTAACTAAATCACTACTGGGGCATTTAGCAGTTTTGAAAATATAATCAGAGAAATTACTCTAATGTAGCACTGTACTGTACTTTTTCTGTTGTGCTAATGACTAGTTTATTAATGTTTCTTACTCTGAAAGTTCAACTTGGTGTGACACTTATCAATGAAGCACATCATCTGGCACTCTTGTTAAAGTTGTCACTCTAGCATGTATGATCTTCTCTTGCTTTAAATGGATTGGTTAGAGATACAGTACTTTCATGTGGTCTGCTAGTCTTAGAAATGATATTTGTTTGGAAAATCTCTGTACAGTATACTACATTACAGTACATAAAAGGTAAGTTATTTTCTATATTCAGTTGGGATGCTTATCTTCATATGCTATATTCATGGATATACAGTAATACTGATTTTGCAATTGTATTGTTTGTCAGTACAACTATTAGGCTTGAACAGAATTCGACAGCATGCAACACACATGGACAAACACATGACTTGACAAAATTGACCATAAGCTTGGCTAACATTATGCTATATAATTTCCATGCAGTGGATGGAAATTCTATTCCACAGATGCTGTCAGTTTCAGAAGCTTGCTGTAGCAGTTAGAACCTTTTAATCTTTGAAAATTTGCTTGGATTTTTCTAGGAGCATTTAAATCATTGTGCGGACAAGGCAAATTTATCTGCATTACAAATTTTCACTTGCTAAATAATTAATTATTGCAATAAGAACTTTCGTAAAGAACATCACTAATTTTATTTAATAGGCTACATACGTTATCAATATTGTTTACAGCTTTTAGAGCAGTTTCACCCATTATAGAGCATTTCATCCATTAAAAATTATGCCCCAGAATTTTTTCATTATTAATTATCCAATAATATTGTAATATTTGAATGTTTACTGACAATTACTCCCTTTATGCTATACAAGTAACTAAATTCTAACCATTGAATATTTTCATGAATGAAGGAATGTGAAGATCTTCAGTAGGATCAACAAAGCATGTCAATCACTTGTTCAGGAATGACACACAGGTCTTTACACTAGGCCAATTATGCTTGGTTTATTTGCAGACAAAAAATTACTCTGTAATGTTGTGGTAGACAAAAAAATATCCCTATGGATTCATATATTGGTTAAAACAGTAAAAGTTTCTGCTGTATGCATTTAATATTACTTTCATATTAAAAGCCAAGACACTGATGCACATAATTTCATTTCTTGTGCTAAACCAAGATAACTGTAAAAATCTGCTGTCATTGCCTGTTTATGGTCTTATCACATCATTTGCTGGACTTGTTCTCAATTCCTGGAAACCCATTGGTTGTTGTTTCAGTGACCGTCCACTCACAGCACGCACGCAGTCTCCAGTCCGCATCGCCCTGCACGTCAAGCACTAGATTCTAGAGTGAGTGGTGGATATAGTTGGGCGCAAAAATACAAAATAAAAAGCATTGCTTTTAGCACCTTGGAGGCTTTAGAGTAAATATATATATTTTTTCCTCATTTAAAGTGTTCAGAGATCAATGTTAGAAGAGCTCCATTTATTTATTAATTAGTTATCATTATCCCAGCATTAGGTTTAGTAATTTTGTCTGTACGTTCCTCACAGAGCATATGGAACGTTGCGTATAAGTAAGATTCAGGTCAAGCTATGAATACTAAATGATTTAGGCATTTCCTTTTTACTTTATATGTAATAACATTAATATTCAGAACATTAAAAACAAATTCTACTGCAATAATAAAGAAAAATAGGAACACTTTCAATAGGTGCATTACTACATGTATTGTCCTCATTACAGTAAAGCAACCATTTTAGCATTTGCTAAACATTCTCTAATAGAGAATGTTTATAAATTATAAACCTGGTTAATAAACTTTCTCAAAACAACTATGGAAGAAATTGTGAAACTAGTTTAACTACAATATAAAATAAATCATTGGTTTTCTTTAATTTTGAGCACGTGAAATAAATTCTAGGAATACCACTATGCACATTAGAAAGTATAAAAAGCAGGAAAACAAATATACAGAGTTATTATTAAAACAAAATTCATAAAATGCTGTAAATAATTATTTCAGATTACCAGTGGAGCTGTATTTATAACAAAAATATAATTCTGATAAAAATGGAACATTTCACATTCTGAAATTTGTTCGTAGTCACCAAAGCTAAAAGTTTTAAAATTGGAACGTATCTGGTAATTATAAAAGATAGATGACATGAATATCAGCCTCGTGCAAGAGTTAAAATTAAAAGGCATCAATGGTATAGTACCAACTATTGATGCATGATTAAACATGCATCACTAGGCTAGCTCGAGTAATTTGTTATACAAACATGTGGCATAGCATACAAAATTATAATGTTGACAAGAAAGAGTAATATAGGCAGCAGGAATAGCAATGTGGATGGAAGTGAAAAGGGCTTCACTTGACAGGTGAATTAAGATTTCATTACTTTAATAGTTTTCTGTAAGACTTGAGAAATTTATCTGACAGAAAACTAAAACTTGACAACAGACGTATGACTGACAAATCCTGACCTTGACATTTAATTATAATGTACCAATTAATGCATCAATTAACTTCTTAAATTATTTACAAAAGATAAATCTAAGCATAATTTGTAAAAGATAATTGTTGATATAGACTTAACTTGACACAGTAATTTGATAAATTAATTAATTAAAGCATCATGCATGTACTTAGTATAAATTCCTTTACAGAGGTACCTTATACATACCGAAGGTAGAGGAAGTTAAGAAAATCAAGGTTATCAATTCACCTCAAGATATAACAAAGGTGCTAAAGAAAGACTCAGAGAAAGAGAACACAAAACCATCACCAGCTCCTGGGAATAAATTGAACAGCACCACCACCACCACAACACCGAAAGGAAGTTCTCCCAAGCCAGTCAATTCATCAAATACGGCAGTCCCAAAACCTGGAGACTCTAGACACAACGACAGTTGTGAAGAGCCTCGTATACCTTGGCGTACCAACCTACGCAAGACAAACAGTAAACTGAACTTGCTAGAGTAACCTAATAATCCTTTAATACAGTTACAATGTTTATAAAGCCATATCCTTTGTGTTTATTCGGCTTGGAATTTGGAGTTTTATACTGTACCACAATTCCTGAAATGGCATTTTTAATTCACATGGCACAGAATTTTATAACTCATTTGTGGCCGATGCATTTGTAGAAACGCACAGCTGATCTTGACTCTTGTGAATTACTAAAATTCATATATTCTATTTGTAAGCTATCCTTACTCCTTTTCCAGTTATACAGCCATTTTAGCTTATAAATTTTGTAAAGAATAGTGTATCTATGTAAATAGAGAATTATATATGTATTCAGTGTAAATATTATGTATATGTACTGCATGACTGTAATAGCTATATATATAATAGAGACAAGACTAACATTACGGCTGATTCACAGTGCCATTTATCCTGTAAATGGACTATAAAATTAACTGAGGATTTTAAGCAAATATTTGAAACTGCCTAAAATTGTGCTTCTGCCAAGGAAGTTTTTATTTAGTAGTTTATTATCTAAAAATTTTAAAACAGGGTTTAGCAACTATGTAGTAACATGCAATGCTGCATGGAGCTTCAAATAAAATACTACCGCATATTTTGTTTTATTGTGTGCCTAACAATTAACATTTGTAAAGCATTACTGATATTTTTATTACACAGGATCATGATACATCATAACCACTGTACCAAAATTTCACATTTCCTTTTAAAACTTAATAAAAACATTACCTTGTAGCAAGAATTACAAGTTGGTTACTTATTTTGAAGGAATATATTTCTTCCCACTTTTCTCTTGCTTCACATCTATTTGACGTAGATCTTTACCTGAAAGAAATATCCAAGAGTTAACAGATCATGAAGACTCATGAATTACATGTTTAGAGATTAAACATTGAAAGATATTTATTTCACTACCTCAATATATATTCCAAACCAGCCTATTGGATGCTACACAATTATAATCCACCTAGGATTAATTCCTTGCTAAGTTATGTCCAACTTTGATGGAGGACATCAGAAAAATTAATGAGAGCAGGGTCAACTGAGATCTCCTTTGCACTTATAAGAGTTCATGATCTCTACTCCAACTACTGATAATCGGCCCTCTGGACCAGGGCAGTCAGCAACCTCACTTGGTCCAACTCCCTGAAGAAGGGAGACATGGCAGTCGAGCAATGTGAAATACTGTACTGTAGTTCCGGTGTCCCAAATATTAGACACATTAAGAGAGCAAGACAAGAGTTAGAAGCCTTCAGAATGATTCTAAATTAATCAACACCTGCAATGTCACATCCTGGCCAGCAGGGAAAGACTAAAAGACCATAACTATTCATCGAGGTATATCAGAAGTGTGACACATGAGCCTAAGCTCCAGTAAAATCACACTTAGTAACCCTGTTGATCATTCTGGATATCAGGCTGAGCACAAAGGAAAGAGCTCAAAAGTGTTTTAGGTTGCATGCACCATTAGTCAATTTTTGGACTTCAGTTGTACGTGATCACACCAATAGGTTTGTTGATTTCAAAGTAAAGTTATCAAGACTGGTTTAAAGCCACCTGATGAAGCAGACACCAGTCATCCAATAAAAAAGAAAGGAAATGTGAGCATTGATCTCAGTCTTTTTATGGCCACCAAAGCCTGTGGGAGTGGAGAAGATGACTGCACACAATCCAAGAACACCTGAAGATGAATGAGATACCAAGTCCAAGAGACCCTTGGAATTCATGGAAAAAGGTTCAACTGCACCTGGCCCAACTGTCCCCTGCCCCTTCCACAATCCCCCAAAAAAACTTAACCCCTAAATCAAAATTTGAAAATGGTAAATTACTCTTACAATCACACAAAGCAGACAAAGGGAATGATCTCCAAGTGAGGCTCAGAGGCAAGGAGCAGGTCTGAGGAAAATCCCCAAAGCAAAACAAAGGCAATGGAACAACTCGATACAATTCATACCACAAAGAGCAACACTAAACAGCTTAAACTATATTTCTAAGGTCATAGGTTTTTGTGAAACAGCTGCAAGGTTGAGAGCCCTGTAATACAAGTCTAGTGGATAGCTAGTAATTGGCAAAACAGGAAACAACAAAGTTGAAAAAATAAAAAAAAAACTAAGTCACAGCATAGTCATAGAATGGGGATGGTATTCCCTATGCACAAAGTGAGGTTGCCAACTCTACCAATGCTTATAGTGCTGCCACTGGGACAACAGTAGCAGCTTAGTGCTCAACAGCAACTAAATGAATGCCAATTACATTGTTTTTTCCCAATTATTGATTGCTGGGGGGGGGGGGATGGTGTTAAAGGTACAGTATTGCTCATTATTTGGTGCGATAATGAACTATTCCTCGATTGTGGCTCGAGTCAGAACTGCCACATTTTATCTTCACTAGTTTCCTAGACAAAGCCATTTGTACAGATACATGTCACAGTGAGTCAACAAGAGCCAAGGAGGTAATGGGGGAAGAGGTTCTTGATGGACAAAGTGGATCCGACTCAGCGAGCATCAGAAGAGCCGCAGCTCAGAAATGGCAAAAAATAAAAAAAGGCCGAGCCACAGCAAGCATCCCATCCCTCCGCTCCCAAAACCATTTCACCTCTTTTATTGAGCAATGGAATTATTTCAATCTTAAACAATTAATCTTCATTCTTTGATACATACTTTCTATTCTTTTGATTTTGCCGTCATAAAGCACTCTCCGTTTGAATTCTGCTGCCTTCTCAGCTATAGAAAGGTTTTTCTTTGTTTCCTGCTTCAGAGTTCTTACTTTAATGCCTCGTTGTAAGGTAATCATCTCTGTAAAATAAAACCAGATACAGTAATCACACTCATAATGTATAAATATAATAAATCTTAGAAAATATTTAGTGAAGAATATTTGCATAGTCCACAGAGCTTGAGACAGACAAATTATTTTACTACAAAAAAGCAAGAACTACAATGTAACTGGTTTAATTACAGTACTGTATATTATTTGAGTCATGCTAAATTACTGTGTCAAGAACTGTGTAATAAAAAGCCAGTGTTGAATGTAATGAAATGCCCTTTTCTGGGGGTAGCCCTCGAGGCTCCCAGAAGGTATCTGAACTGCTATGTGCATTTATTAGTTTAGGGTCATCAGTCACTTGGAGTTCTAATAAAGATTGATTGATGCATGGTGTTGGGGAGGGGCTCCATAAATGATGCAGGGGATTGGGAGGGGCTCCATAGATGATGCAGGGAGCTGGGAGGGGCTCCATAGATGATGCAGGAAGCTGAGAGGGGCTCCATAGATAATGCAGGAAGCTGGGAGGGGCTCCATAAATGATGCAGAGGGCTGGGAGGGGCTCCATAGATGATGCAGGAAGCTGAGAGGGGCTCCATAGATAATGCAGGAAGCTGGGAGGGGCTTCATAAATAATGCAGGGGGCTGGGAGGGGTGCCATAGATGATGCAGGGGGGCTGGGAGGGGGGCTCCATAGATGATGTAGGGGACTGGGAGGTTCTCCATAGATGATGCAGGGGGTTGGGAGGGGTTCCATAGATGATACATGGGCTGTGTTGGGTCACTATAATGTACAGGGCAAGACATTCCTCAGAAGATGTGGGGAAAAAATTGCAACCAGTAGATCTTTTGCTATAATTTCTAAGCTGTAGCAATACTCAGTATCCTTAAAAACATTTTCATTCACTGGATCATCAATTACCCTTATTGATGGCTTCACCTACTAAAACAAGTAGAAGCTGAAAATACTAATAAGTGACAACAATATAGGATAGTATTCAATGCAATGTACAAAATTCTAAATCCTTACCTTGGCTGTAAGCAAGAGAAATGAGCTAGAAAAAAATAGAGTTCACAGCATCAAAAGCAATATAAAAGGGTACCAGAACATTGGGAGTTATAAATGCACCCGATAAAATAGCTTTGAGGTGAAACCTAATAGCTGCATCTTTCTCCCTGAACAGAGAGTATGATAAGCACTTACCCTTATCAATGGTTTCATCCACTGGGCCATCATTACTTATATTTTCATTGTCTTCAAATGTTTTAATCTTTCTTTCATTTTTTTGTGTTGCTGCTTTCTGTTTTGGATTCAATTTTTGCTCTGCAATTACGGCTTTAAGAAGATTATCTGATAATCGCTTTGTACTTTGCTTTGCTAGACGTTTCCGCTGAAAAAAGAAATAAAAGGCATTGAAAGTGGAACATTGTTAGGAAAATTATAACTAATTCAATATAAGTATCAATAAGGATATTTTAATGCATGAAGGCAATATTCTAGAGAGCAGTGAGTATGTCCATGTACAAAAACAGCAAACCTAGCTACAAGTCACCCTTACACTGTGGGGTATGAAGTACATTACACATAACCTAATGTCTATTGTGAGAAAATTGCTCGAATTGATAATTGCAAAATCTATTCCTCTACATCATAAAAAAGATTTACAAATGATTCACAACATGGTTTTACTAAGTGCCACTTGCGTTTGACAAATCTGATTCTATTCTATTCCACCATATTTGAAGTTGATAGTGGATGAAACTGTACCATTGTGTACCTTGACTTTGGCAAAGCTTTTGATACTTGCAAAATACTGATTAGAAAGGTACAGGGGGTGCTATCTTCAATTGGATAAAGACATAATTACATCAATAAAAACAAAGAGATAATATAAATGTAGTTATGTCTGAATAGGAAATCATTTAGAAATGCTAGGAAACCAGGCTGAAATGCTATGCAAGTTAGTAGCTTGGCAAGAATGTAAGAACACTAATGTCATAACACAATTACTTAACATATTGTGAAGTAATTGTAAACAAGTAAAATGCTCCTGTACAACAAATTTTCATAAGCTAATAAAGATTGATTTTGCACTTGGAGTAGAGTAACAAATCTAACTAATAAATTGAAATTATGGCAACATTGGCATAACTTCAAAAATATCTATGCGAGCACATTGCATCATTCAAATATTTAGCTAATCACTATGTTAAAATTATATCTAATTCAATCACCAAAAAAGCTATTAATATCAATGCAGTATTACACACCTTCGCTGCCTGCTGGAGTTCATTTCTCTCCTGTTTTCTTTTTCTAGCTTCTTTGGTTTGTTGCTTCAGTCTCATTATTTCTTTCCGTTTTTTATTTTCTTCACTGTCGGCCTGCATCTTTCCCATGGCAATGGATGCTTCGTCTGGTGCTGCATCAGAATCTGAGTCCTCCGGTTCATAACTATGGGATTTGCTACTTGCAACTGTAGGACAAGAAATTTATTAAGAGAATATCTCTAATTTGTAATCTGTATGTCATATACTGTATTAACCTTTCCAATCTGAACACACTATTCATAAGAGAAGCAGGCTAGCAAGCAAGACAACAAAAATCAGACTTTGAGTAAAGAAGAAAAGCCTCTTTTTTTGGGCAAGACATACAGACAGAGCATCTCAATGTCTGATTAAGGTAAGATCATAGAAGGTCCCATTAGCCAGGATCATAACAGTGACAGCAGATTGACCCACAAAATGTTGATCCACAGTTATCCAACCAAAAAACACAAACTGACATTGGGCTCCCTAGGCTGACATATAGCCCACCTAGCTACTAAACCCCTATAAAGAGGCCTGAAAGTCAAGGGAAAATCTCTTAACTCTAGCACCAGGAGCCTTATATACTATTTCCACTTCCCTACAGAGAAAAAGACATCAAATATTCAGACAAAGACTGAAACTTTACCAGTTTGTGGTTTGTTTTGTTTCACCTATCTTTTTGGGGTGCCCTCCCCAATCAACAGCAAATAAGTTATACTCTAAATGAAGTGCGCTCATAGGCCATTGCTCTATGTGCCTCTCCGAGGGGACCAGGTTTTGGCTCGTGGTTACCAGTAAGCACAAGAATGTCCATGGCTGATGACTCCTCAAACTAGTATTGCACATGTCAGTTTGGATAGCTTCAGGAAGGCAATGAGCCTCCCTACAGAAAAACCAAGAATTTGTACTATGAGCACCAATATTTCAATTCCTGAGCCTGCTGCCTCAAGTAAACCTCAAACATAGACTGAGGTCCGAGCATGGTCATTACCTACACCTGGCAGACATAAATCCCCCCTCTCACCCCAAGGGTGACATAAACCCTGCACACAAGGATGTACAGGCAGGGTTTATTTCAGTTAGGGTTGCAGGCAAAAAAAAAAAAAATTCAGTAAGGTACTCAAAGAAATTGTATCGAGAAGAATTAAATTTAACCTCTTGTTCAGTTGCCAAGACTAACAACACAGAAGGAAACTAGGTAAACTCCTTGAACAGGTCCAAGAACCTCCACCCAAGACCAAAGAGACCTAGACACAAGACATGTTTTCGGTGGGGCCTGAACTCGTGCCATCCAACTACAAACAAGAATAGGCACAAGCAGCCCATTTGTAAAAATAAAAAAATAAAAAAGCTATGCAACACAAACAAGACCTTAGGGAAACTTGCAAATCTCGTAATTATGCACTGGTGACGTTACAACCAAACCTTTCCAAGAACTCAAACTGTGCACCAATGCTTCAGCCCAGAACAAAGAACTGAATTACAAACTGGACCAGCACAGAAAATAACTCCAATGCCAGTTGGCTACAAAATCAGTGACTACCCATGCACTCTGAAGAGACCACTTAACAGCATGAGCCTACTGTAAATGAAACAAGAGTTTCCATACACAAGCACTAATTACTTAGTTGAATTAAAAGGATTTCATTAAGCAAAATTAATACATCTAGGGAAGAACCTGGATAATAGCGAGAAGGATCATTACTTGCTACTCTTACCAATGCAGGTACTGACACCTTGTGTGTATATGGGCAGCAGCATGCACTTTAGGAGCAATACATGGCAGTTTAATTGGGACTGAGCATCATTTGAAAGGGGATCAAGACTGTAATTGAATGAAATATCTTGAAAGTGATTCCAAACTGGAAATTTTTTCCCTTTCACTATGACTAGTAAGAATATAAAAAAGGTTCCCTATGGTGCTAAGGAATATTTATTGACCTGACCTGGCAGTTGTTTGGTCCTATCCTTGAGAAGAGCCTAAGGAAACAACAGAATGATATAATGCTGAAATTTAGTAACAGGAACTTGTTTAAATAATTTTCTTTTATATTCCTAAATGGCATTTAAAATGTAATTATTCAATGAATTACTAAATCTTCCTACTTACCAAGAGAATCAGGAATAGGCAGGTTTTCAAAGTCTTCATCTTCATCAAACACAATGTGTTTCTTTTTCAATGTGTCCTGAAAATATAAGATATAAACACATCTCTCCATTAACCCAATTGCTGTTATTGTGGATAATACTTTAAGATTGCAATTGACATTCAATATACAAAAGTGCTCCATGTTGGAAAATACACACACACATTCAAGTACAATAATTAGCTAATCAAAATTAAGATTTTGTTATAGTTAATTGTCATCTCAAACTGGCTGGTAATTCCTGAAGTTTACAACACTTTCTTGAATAACCTGCAAAGTATATTGTTCCTCAATCAAATAATTTGAGGATTTTATGAGTTCTGTAAATACCTGTCATCTTAAATATATATTTATCAAGTAACACATCATATGACAGGAACAGATTAATGAGTAAAGAGGCTTCTGAGATTTTGTCAAAATGTTTTAGCCGACAACTTATCCTTTTGAAATTCAAGAATTTTAGGACAAATTATTTTAGCTGTAATTGGGTTTGAGAATCATTCCTTAATGCAGCTCACTAGCTGAGTTCCTTCACAAACCATACTGAGAAATAAATTAATGGTGACTAATGGGCAAATATATAAACATACCTCAATTACTGTAATAGGAATATAAAAATATTTATATGTTAAAACAGTTATTTCAAGATCTTATAAATAGGCTTACTTCTTTGGATGTTGGATCTTTGGTAACAGTCTTGGTAACTTTGATATTTGGTTTTCCCTTTTCCAATGTATGGCCTCCACCCAATTTTTCCCCATGAATTCCTTCATCTAAATTCTCATCTTCACTTTCTTCCTCAGATTCATTTTTTTCGTCACCAGAGTCACTTCCAGTAGAATCGTCATCTTCATCATCATCACCATCATTGTCATCCACATCATCCTCATCTCCATCATTCTCCTCATCTCCATCATCCTCATCTCCATCATCCTCCTCCTCTCCTTCACTACTGCTTTCATTTCCAAGTTCTTCACTATTTCCAAATGTAACCTCTTCAGCCTGGCCATATAATGACATCATGCCATCATCTGTGGCATCTAAAAAGATAAAGAAAATTAGTTGGAAGATTTAGCTTAGTATGACTGAAGTTACAAAATCAATGTTATGCCAACATTCAAGTAAACTTAATGCTCGCATATTTTTCTTGAAACCATTTATCTACGAATCATAATTCCACCTTGCTTGTGTCAAAAGGAACAGTTATACATACCATACACAGATACCAAAATGTTGAGTAGAGAAATACAAAGCTGAGAGTAGCCTAGACTGAATATAATTTTGCTTGTAAGGTTCCTTATGAAATTATGCACTGTATTTAGGAATGACACTACTGCAGAACCTCATCACATACTTGCAATCTATGATTCAATTATTAACGGCTATCTAAAAATACCCTTCAATAAACAATACATCTGTAGCTAAATAAAGTAAAGTACAGTAGCAGCAAATCAAATACCCAGTACTGTATAAGGTATATACAGTATGTATATGTGTATATATACAGTATGTATATGTGCATATATACAGTATATATATATATATACAGTATGTATATGTGCATATATACAGTATATATATATATATATACAGTATGTATATGTGCATATATACAGTATATATATATATATATACAGTATATATATATATATATATATATAGTATATATATATAGTATATATATATAGTATATATAGTATATATATATATATATATATATATATATATATATATATATATATATATATATATATATATATATATATATATATATATATATATAAAAAGCTTATAAATCTTTTTGTAGAAAGATAAAGATAGATTTTAGATACAGTTCTACTATATGCAAGACATCTAGTATGGGTTAGCTACAGTATTTTGATTACTGATATGGATCTCCGGATATAAAGTACAGTACTTTATTGGTTGAATATTTTGCAATGATGTTGTATGGTAGCTGGATACAATATACTGTCGATCATAGTATACTAAACATGTTTAGGATTTAAGGATGAAATTAATTTACAAATGGGCCATTACCAGAAATGGTGTGGACAATTTCTTGGCAAGCATGAGATGCTTAATGGTACAGTATTTCTTTTATTCTAGTTTAAACACAAAATACTTACTTATGTGGCCAAGGAATGATGACTTTACCCATAACACTAAGCAGCTTTAAAAAATTAATATGGAGTTTAAATTTTAACACATAAATATATACAAGTATAAATCTGCAAAAATTTGGTCATAGTAAGACCTTGCCATTGTCTTGCAAATACATATATAGTACTCTATCAGCTATGCAAATCCAAGAATATATGCCTAGGCTAAGAAGTGTGAATGTGTACAATACATAAAAATAAAAAAAAATCCCATACAGATCCGTGACATGTCTGTGTGCAGCTTCTGGCACGAGATGGACTGGACACTTCATTCAGGGCTTTACACCCAGCCTCCTACGTATATTATTTTGGTCAATGAATTTTAGTTTTACTTAAATTAGTTTAGTTTAGTTCATTTATTATGCACCCCATACCCATCTTGTGGGCGGTAATGGAAAGGGTTACTTAAGAGATTACTTAAATTTTAAATTTTGCCCCGAGGGGCGAGTTTATTGGGCAGCGCCACTCATCTTGTGAGTGGACACACCGCCGTAGATTACTTTTTTCTCTTGCTATACATATCATCGATGGTTCCAAGAATAATTTACTGTAACTTTTTAAATGGATTTGGACCCTAGCAATTTACCTTAGTGAGTTGTATACCAAAGACTTCACCCAATACGTTTAGTGCTAAATGCTTCATTAACTGTCTTACTATTTAAATAAGTTCTTGCTTTCTTTTGAGAATTTAAAGAAAATCCATACTACAAAAAATTCAGTTTTGTTGAACCAAATGAAACCCTAAGGCATCTAACCTGTCCTAATCAAACCAATTTTAACCAATTTAAACCAAAACCTAACCAAAGAATCTGCTAACTAAACTTAGCCTAACCTAATGTAACCTAATCCAACCAAATAGAATGCATAAGCATAGTCCAGGGAACATAAAAATAAAGATGGTACACTTTGTTATGATACAACTGGAAAGCAGTAAGGCAACTTGGCACTGAACCCTTTCATGTACAAGTGCTATAAATAGATGAAAGCCAACATTGAGCAGTAAGGCTTTCCTACATAATACATTGGATATACAGTAATTCACTTGTTGTTCAGACTTGTCTGGATTAGTGTGAATTTAGGCCAAAAAGACTAGATCAAATTTAGTGTTGGCCCTCAAACTTAAAGTAACATTAGGGGCCAAAAAAGTATGAATACTTTACATATTTTTTTATATACATATATACAATATTTCTTACACTCTTGTACAGCCACTAGAACGCACAGCTTTTCAGGCAGGTCCTTAATCATAATTTTCCCCGGATTACGACCCACCAAATGGTTTAACAACCAGGTACCCAATCACCGCTGGGTGAACAGAGGCTTCAGTTACGGACTGGCACCCAGTCAATCCTCCCTAGCCAGGATACGAACCCTGGCCAAGTGCTCGTGAAGCGCCAGGTGAGTATTTTACGACTGCGCCACGGGGACCGTTTCATGGGACTGCGGGGGACTGCTGCTGCTTTATTTTAATGAACACATGCTTAATACTTAATGCTTAATACTCAGAGAAATTTTAGCACTTTCTTAAGAAGAATTGTTGCTACATAACGGTCCGTCTAATTACTGCAAGCTACCACAAGCTACACAAACTTCACAAAGCTTCCTGGCAATACGTTAGTAATGAATAAATACGATATATTTACTCATTATAATGTTGGTGCTGAATGTACAACACGAAAAAACAATTTTAATCTGAAAAAGTATTTTTTTTATAAAGAAATTAGATGAAAATAAAGAGCTGGTGACGCCAAATCAAGTCGACGATCCAAGCGTCGGTTAGGTTAGGTTAGGTTAGGTTAGGTTTGGTTAGGTCAGCCTAACTTATCATATTTATTCATTACTAACGTATTGCCGGGAAGCTTTGTGAAGTTTGTGTAGCTTGTGGTAGCTTGCGGTAATTAGACGGACCCCTACATAGTCTTCCTAGAATGGCACCCTCTTTTGATAATGATATACTGTACTTATAATTGGAAAATTGTCAACAGTGAACTCAACATTTATTACTAGTCTTTGATACTTGAGAAATTTCTTTAATTACTGGGTATGTTACTTAACTGGCACAGCACCTAATAGGTATCCTAACTGTTTGATTGAGACAATACTTTACTAACTCACACCTGACCTAAAATGATCACAGGGCCTGTTAACCTATCCTAACTTTTTTTTTTTTTTTTTTTTTTTTGAGATATATACAAGAGTTGTTACATTCTTGTACAGCCACTAGTACGCGTAGCGTTTCGGGCAAGTCCTTAATCCTATGGTCCCTGGAATACGATCCCCTGCCGCGAAGAATCGTTTTTTCATCCAAGTACACATTTTACTGTTGCGTTAAACAGAGGCTACAGTTAAGGAATTGCGCCCAGTAAATCCTCCCCGGCCAGGATACGAACCCATGACATAGCGCTCGCGGAACGCCAGGCGAGTGTCTTACCACTACACCACGGAGACTGCTGAAACTTGACGTATGGTAGCTTAACAAAGCTTTTACCTAGCCTAAGTTAGCCTAACACATCCAGTAAGTTCAAAAGTACATCATATTTTGTCTGTTGGAGCATTTTGACAGGAAACTATGTGTTATGGGCGGAAAAGGGAATTGCAAGTGGGAACTGCAGGTGAGACAGCCAATGTCTGCAAGCGAGGGCTAAGGCTAGGAACAGAGGACTGTGGGTGAGGAACGAGGAACGTGGATGAGGAATAGATAACGCGTTCCTGTCCTATGTCAATTTATACCATAAAACAACCTTCATTACTTACTCCAGTCCTCTAGCAAAGAACCACTCACGACCATCGTCAACAGTGTACAAGCGACCACGGTTGCCAGTTCTAAATTGCTGAAAGTAGCGAGCTGACGGTCTAAAAGTAGCGAATTTGTGATATGAGTTGCCCAATTTTTTTAGTGAATGATATTGGTTTCAAAGTAATATATTCTGATATATAGAGTACACTACACGATGTTAAATGTTTTATTAATATTATTTCTGCACATACACACACACATTATATATATATATATATATATATATATATATATATATATATATATATATATGTCGTACCTAGTAGCCAGAACGCACTTCTCAGCCTACTATGCAAGGCCCGATTTGCCTAATAAGCCAAGTTTTCATGAATTAATTGTTTTTCGACTACCTAACCTACCTAACCTAACCTAACCTAACTTTTTCGGCTGCTTAACCGAACCTAACCTATGAAGATAGGTTAGGTTAGGTTAGGTAGGGTTGGTTAGGTTCGGTCATATATCTACGTTAATTTTAACTCCAATAAAAAAAATTGACCTCATACATAATGAAATGGGTAGCTTTATCATTTCATAAGAAAAAAATTAGAAAAAATATATTAATTCAGGAAAACTAGGCTTATTAGGCAAATCGGGCCTTGAATAATAGGCCAAAAAGTGAGTTCTGGCTACTAGGTACGACATATATATATATATATATATATATATATATATATATATATATATATATATATATATATGTCGTACCTAGTAGCCAGAACTCACTTCTCAGCCTACTATTCAAGGCCCGATTTGCCTAATAAGCCAAGTTTTCCTGAATTAATATATTTACTATAATTTTTTTCTTATGAAATGATAAAGCAACCCTTTTCTCTATGTATGAGGTCAATTTTTTTTTATTGGAGTTAAAATTGACGTAGATATATGACCGAACCTAACCAACCCTACCTAACCTAACCTAACCTATATTTATAGGTAAGGTTAGGTTAGGTAGCCAAAAAAAGCTAGGTTAGGTTAGGTTAGGTAGGTTAGGTAGACGAAAAAACATTAATTCATGAAAACTTGGCTTATTAGGCAAATCGGGCCTTGAATAGTAGGCTGAGAAGTGAGTTCTGGCTACTAGGTACGACATATATATATATATATTTATATATATATATATATATATATATTTATATGTCGTACCTAATAGCCAGAACGCACTTCTCAGCCTACTATTCAAGGCCCGATTTGCCTAATAAGCCAAGTTTTCATGAATTAATGTTTTTTCGTCTACCTAACCTACCTAACCTAACCTAACTTAGCTTTTTTTGGCTACCTAACCTAACCTTACCTATAAATATAGGTTAGGTTAGGTTAGGTAGGGTTGGTTAGGTTCGGTCATATATCTACTTTAATTTTAACTCCAATAAAAAAAAATTGACCTCATACATAGAGAAAAGGGTTGCTTTATCATTTCATAAGAAAAAAATTATAGTAAATATATTAATTCAGGAAAACTTGGCTTATTAGGCAAATCGGGCCTTGAATAGTAGGCTGAGAAGTGAGTTCTGGCTACTAGGTACGACATATATATATATATATATATATATATATATATATATATATATATATATATATATATGTCGTACCTAGTAGCCAGAACGCACTTCTCAGCCTACTATGCAAGGCCCGATTTGCTTAATAAGCCAAGTTTTCATGAATTAATGTTTTTTCGACTACCTAACCTACCTAACCATGCCTAACCTACCTTTTTCGGCTACCTAACCGAACCTAACCTATAAAGATAGGTTAGGTTAGGTTAGGTAGGGTTGGTTAGGTTCGGTCATATATCTACGTTAATTTTAACTCCAATAAACAAAAATTGACCTCATACATAATGAAATGGGTAGCTTTATCATTTACTAAGAAAAAAATTAGAGAAAATATATTAATTCATGAAAACTTGGCTTATTAGGCAAATCGGGCCTTGCATAGTAGGCTGAGAAGTGCGTTCTGGCTATTAGGTACGACATATATATATATATATATATATATATATATATATATATATATATATATATATATATATATATATATATATATATGTCGTACCTAATAGCCAGAACGCACTTCTCAGCCTACTATGCAAGGCCCGATTTGCCTAATAAGCCAAGTTTTCTTGAATTAATATATTTCTTCTAATTTTTTTCTTATGAAATGATAAAGCTACCCATTTCATTATGTATGAGGTCAATGTTCTGTTATTGGAGTTAAAATTAACGTAGATATATGACCGAACCTAACCAACCCTACCTAACCTAACCTAACCTATCTCTATCAGTTAGGTTAGGTTAGGTAGCAGAAAAAGTTAGGTTAGGTTAGGTTAGGTAGGTTAGGTAGTCGAAAAAACATTAATTCATGAAAACTTGGCTTATTAGGCAAATTGGGCCATGCATAGTTGGCTGAGAAGTGCGTTCTGGCTATTAGGTACGACATATATATATATATATATATATATATATATATATATATGTCGTACCTAGTAGCCAGAACTCACTTCTCAGCCTACTATTCAAGGCCCGATTTGCCTAATAAGCCAAGTTTTCCTGAATTAATATATTTACTATAATTTTTTTCTTATGAAATGATAAAGCAACCCTTTTCTCTATGTATGAGGTCAATTTTTTTTTATTGGAGTTAAAATTAACGTAGATATATGACCGAACCTAACCAACCCTACCTAACCTAACCTAACCTATATTTATAGGTAAGGTTAGGTTAGGTAGCCAAAAAAAGCTAGGTTAGGTTAGGTTAGGTAGGTTAGGTAGACGAAAAAATATTAATTCATGAAAACTTGGCTTATTAGGCAAATCGGGCCTTGAATAGTAGGCTGAGAAGTGCGTTCTGGCTATTAGGTACGACATATATATATATATATATATATATATATATATATATATATATATATATATATATATATATATATATATATATATATATATATATATATATATATATATATATATATATGTCGTACCTAGTAGCCAGAACTCACTTCTCAGCCTACTATTCAAGGCCCGATTTGCCTAATAAGCCAAGTTTTCCTGAATTAATATATTTACTATAATTTTTTTCTTATGAAATGATAAAGCAACCCTTTTCTCTATGTATGAGGTCAATTTTTTTTTATTGGAGTTAAAATTAACGTAGATATATGACCGAACCTAACCAACCCTACCTAACCTAACCTAACCTATATTTATAGGTAAGGTTAGGTTAGGTAGCCAAAAAAAGCTAGGTTAGGTTAGGTTAGGTAGGTTAGGTAGACGAAAAAACATTAATTCATGAAAACTTGGCTTATTAGGCAAATCGGGCCTTGAATAGTAGGCTGAGAAGTGCGTTCTGGCTATTAGGTACGACATATATATATATATATATATATATATATATATATATATATATATATATATATATATATATATATATATATATATATATATATATATATATATATATATGTCGTACCTAATAGCCAGAACGCACTTCTCAGCCTACTATGCAAGGCCTGATTTGCCTAATAAGCCAAGTTTTCATGAATTAATGTTTTTTCGACTACCTAACCTACCTAACCTAACCTAACGTAACTTTTTCTGCTACCTAACCGAACCTAACCTATAAAGATAGGTTAGGTTAGGTTAGGTAGGGTTGGTTAGGTTTGGTCATATATCTACGTTAATTTTAACTAAAATAAAAAAAAATTGACCTCATACATAATGAAATGGGTAGCTTTATCATTTCATAAGAAAAAAATTAGAGAAAATATATTATTTCAAGAAAACTTGGCTTATTAGGCAAATCGGGCCTTGCATAGTAGGCTGAGAAGTGCGTTCTGGCTATTAGGTACGACATATATATATATATATATATATATATATATATATATATATATATATATATATATATATATGTCGTACCTAGTAGCCAGAACTCACTTCTGAGCCTACTATGCAAGGCCCGATTTGCCTAATAAGCCAAGATTTCATGAATTAATTGCTTTTCGACTACCTAACCTACCTAACCTAACCTAACCTAACTTTTTCGGCTACCTAACCTAACCTAACCTATAAAGATAGGTTAGGTTAGGTTAGGTAGGGTTGATTAGGTTCAGTCATATATCTACGTTAATTTTAACTCCAATAAAAAAAAATTCACCTCTTACATAATGAAATGGGTTGCTTTATCATTTGATAAGAAACAAATTTGAGAAAACATATTAATTCATGAAAACTTGGCTTATTAGGCAAATCGGGCCTTGCATTGTAGGCTAAAAAGTGAGTTCTGGCTACTAGGTACGACATATATATATATATATATATATATATGTCGTACCTAGTAGCCAGAACTCACTTCTATGCCTACTATGCAAGGCCCAATTTGCCTAATAAGCCAAGTTTTCATGAATTAATTGTTTTTCGACTATGTACCTAACCTACCTAACCTAACCTAACCTAACTTTTTCGGCTACCTAACCTAACCTAACCTATAAAGATGGGTTAGGTTAGGTTAGGTAGGGTTGGTTAGGTTCGGTCATATATCTACGTTAATTTTAACTCTAATAAAAAAAAATTACCTCATACATAATGAAATGGGTAGCTTTATCATTTCATAAGAAAAAAATTAGAGAAAATATATTAATTCAGGAAAACTTGGCTTATTAGGCAAATCGGGCCTTGCATAGTAGGCTGAGAAGTGCGTTCTGGCTACTAGGTACGACATATATATATATATATATATATATATATATATATATATATATATATATATATATATATATATATATATGTCGTACCTAGTAGCCAGAACTCACTTCTCAGCCTATTATGCAAGGCCCGATTTGCCTAATAAGTCAAGTTTTCATGAATTAATGTTTTTTCGACTACCTAACCTACCTAACCTAACCTAACCTAACTTTTTTGGCTACCTACCCTAACCTAACCTATAAAGATAGGTTAGGTTAGGTTAGGTAGGGTTGGTTAGGTTCGGTCATATATCTACGTTAATTTTAACTCAAATAAAAAAAAATTTACATCATACATAATGAAATGGGTAGCTTTATCATTTCATAAGAAAAAAATTAGAGAAAATATATTAATT